TCCCTCAAGGCCTCGAGACATTATGCTCGAGATGCAAAAGGTCCGAGAAAACCGAGACCGGTTCAGGATTGACGGTCGTACGGGCGGCATTGGAACATCCGTCAGTGCTTGCATGTTTACGTTTCATAATACGTTTGGCACGTGAGTTATTACCGTTTCGTACCAAAAATTATCTCTACATTTCTAACCATTGCAACCAGCGTGTCATGCATGGACTTCTCTGATGATGGGCAGCTAGTCGCGGCTGGCACAAGCGAGTCCTATATTCGCGTTTGGTCCCTTGACGGCAAGGGCCTTCCTACAATGAATGCGCACGAAAAGGACGCCAAATTTAACAGTCGCAAATTGATTGGGCATGCCGCACCAGTATACGATGTTTCCTTCTCCGAGTCAGCATCTGGTCCCGCTCAGAGGTTGTTTGGTGACGAAGGCCGACACAACCCTGTAATGGATGGCAGGCCGAAACTCCTGCTCTCCTGCTCAGCCGACGGTCATGTTCGATTGTGGTCTTTGGAGTCTTGGGCATGTCTCTGCCTATACAAGTCTCACGATGGCCCCATATACCGCACACTCTGGGGCCCGCACGGGCACTACTTCATAAGCGGCGGTTACGACAAGGCGCTGCGTGTTTGGATGCAAGATCATGCTTCACCACAACGCCTCTTGGTGGGGCACGACACTGCCATATCCGCGATTGCTTGGCACCCAAATGGCATGTATGTATTCTCTGCGTCGGACGAAACGGATAAATCTATTCGTATGTGGTCCGTGGTGACTGGGGCTTGTGTACGAGTCTTTGCCGGCCACACTGATCACATCACGGCTCTTGAGTGTGCTCCCAATGGAAAGATTTTAGCCAGCGCAGATCTGGCGGGCAACATCTTCTTCTGGGACCTTGCCAAAGGCACTCGTATCAAGCGTTCCCGTGGCCATGGACGCGGCGGGATTTGGTCTCTGAGCTTTAGCGTGGAATCTAATGTCCTCGCTTCCGGCGGTCAAGACGGTACAGTCCGGCTATGGGATGTCGAAGAGCCAGTCGACCCTCACAAGGCGGCTGCCCACGCTGGTTTGGAGGCCGCGGCCGCTTCTGCAGCCGCCGATGGCGCTGCTGCGACTGGTGCGGCCACGGATGCCTCTCGTGCGAATGCCGCTGCAGGGCAATCTACCGCTGTTCCAACCTCTACTGGAACGCAGAAGAAGAAAGGCAAAGAAGTCATGGTTACCCATGACCAAATCAGTGCTTTTCCCACCAAGAAGACGCCTGTCATGAGAGTCAAGTTCACGCGAATGAATCTTGTTATGGTCGGTGGCTGCTACGACCCCGAACGATAGGGCTGTTCGGTCGTAGACTCGCCAATGTTGATGAATCGGTCGTGGTTATGCGACAGTATGCTGCCCTCCCGAACTCGGTCATTGGCGGCACGACGAGTCGCTAAGCGCAACAATAGGAGGAGGTTTAACCGTGAAAATGGAGAGAGCAAAGCAAGTAGCAGAGTGGCATGCAAGGCGTAAAGGTATTTTGGTGGACTGCAATCGGCGTTCTCGGCTGGCAACTTGTACCATGGATCAGGATTGACGGGGGGGTTGCTTGGGGGTGTGACGGAGCATCAGCTCCCCTGATGTTACGCCTGTAATTGTATAGATAGATACCTCGGTCATTGAGACATATTGGGAGTCTAGCGCATTAGCTGTTAGTTTTTGAACCAGTTGTCTTTAATGCTTCCACGTTGCCCATGAGGCTCCAATAATTATCCGAAGAGCTCTGAACGGAATATTGTCAAGTATCGGAAGCCGCGCCAAAGTGGGGCCCAAGTTCAAGGTCCATGCGGTGCTTTACGCAAGTGTGACCACTGACACTGACGTTTGCTCGGTGCCCGCCGTCTTGAGCATCATCTTCTGCCAACATCGTCATCCTACATCGGCCTCTCGTCACCTCGTGCCAGCCCATTGCCGCCCATCCCACCGGCCAAATATACTCAACCATGGACGTCGAGGAGTCGCCATGGGCCGACTCAGGCCACAGCTCGCAGCAGATTCCCCCGACCGGGCCTCCCAGCTCCCAGCCCGCAGGTTCGCAAGCTACATTTGCGGCACCTCGGCCCTCGCGCGGGCCACGGCGCCTCGTCGCTCAGCCTACCCGCCTTGAGGCTGTGGAGGATCCTTTGGGTCCTTTGAGTGCCTCGGCTGATGATAATGACGGAACGTCCGACGCCCCGCCGGTGCCGCCGCAGAAGGAGCAGATAGTGATTCGAACTACGATGCCTCAACAGCAACAACCCCGACGACCGATTGACCCTCACCATGTGAATGACGATGACTTCAAAAGCCCTGGAAGTCCGAGGGCACCGCCTCCAGTGGATGCTGCCAGACCGAGCAGTGTCCAAAGCAGTACACAACCTAGCGTCAGCGTCGAGCAAGCTTCCAAGCCTTCCTTCCATATCACCGTTGGTGACCCGGTCAAAATTGGTGACTTGACGAGCTCACACATTGTTTATTCTGTCAGAACAAAGGTTAGCTAAGATTGGTCCCAACATCGGGTAGTTCAAGGCCTAAGCGTTCCTGCTGACACGGAACACTCGGATTTTACAGACTACTTCTCGAGCTTATAAGCAGCCCGAATTCGAGGTCAAACGACGATATCGCGATTTCCTCTGGCTATATAATACCCTGCACACGAACAATCCCGGCTGCATCGTTCCCCCACCGCCTGAAAAGCAAGCAGTTGGTCGATTTGATAGCAATTTTGTCGAGGCTCGGCGAGCTGCTTTGGAGAAGATGCTTAACAAGACTGCCGCTCACCCTACCCTGCAACATGACGCCGACCTCAAGCTGTTCCTCGAGAGTGAGGCATTCAATGTTGATATTAAACACCGGGAGCACAAGGAACCTATTCCAACCGAAAGCAAGGGTGTGTTTGGCTCTCTGGGTATTAGTGTGGGCCGCGGAGACAAGTTTGTTGAACAAGATGATTGGTTCCACGACCGCAAGGTCTACCTTGATGCTTTGGAGAACCAGCTCAAGGGACTCCTGAAGGCCATGGAAATAATGGTTGGGCAGCGCAAGATGATGGCTGAGGCGGCCGGTGACTTTTCAGCTTCCCTTCATGCTCTTTCCACCGTTGAACTGTCGCCAACTTTGTCGGGACCTCTGGATGCCTTGTCCGAACTACAACTCACGATTCGGGATGTGTACGACCGACAGGCCCAGCAGGATGTGCTCACTTTTGGAATCATTATCGAAGAATATATCCGCCTCATTGGATCAGTGAAGCAGGCCTTTGGCCAACGTCAGAAGGGATTCTACGCCTGGCACTCCGCTGAGTCTGAGCTCCAAAAGAAGAAGAGCACACAGGACAAGTTGCTTCGACAGGGAAAGAGCCAGCAGGATCGCCTGAACCAAGTGAATGCTGAGGTTGGTGAGGCAGAGAAAAAGGTGCATCAAGCACGATTGCTATTTGAGGAGATGGGTCGATCTCTGAAAACTGAGATTGATCGCTTTGAAAAGGAAAAGGTGGAGGATTTTAAGAGCGGAGTGGAAACATTCCTCGAGAGTGCAGTCGAAGCACAAAAGGAGGTAAGATGCGTCAACATTCAGCCTTGACCCTTTTGATTCTCGATTATTTTCTGACATCTTGGTAGCTGATTGAAAAGTGGGAGACGTTTTTGATGCAACTGGATGCCGAGGATGATGAGTCGGTCTTCTATCGACCGCCTGTATACCAACAGCAGTCGAAGCCACCTGGTGACACAGCAATTGACAGGGCCAGGGCAAGGATGGATGAGGATTCTGACTAAGATAATAATAATATCTCAGTAGCGACTAGTTTCTTGTCAACAACACTCTTGTCACATTAACAAAATTTCCGGGAACCATGTGGAATAGGAGTCGGAGCTATGCTTTGATTGCATAATCCAGAGACGTCTTTTACTTTTCTTATCATACAAGATGGGTGGGCTGGTTATTGTACATATTGACAACATCTGCATTCAATCAATGCCATTGTTGAAGCCCACTGTCCACTCCGAATTCTCCGGCCCTTCTTCCCCTATGTACAAGTTCAAAGGTGATTTAGGCGCCCATCCGTCGCCTCTTGATACGTTCCGAGATTACTTCCTCCTCGTGGGCGCCTTCTTGGGTCCCGAATCCTTCATGGCACTCGTGTCCTGCGGAGCATATCCCGTAATTAAATCCGCAAACACATCGTCACTGACCTCGCTCGCCGCGGCAGGGGCGTCACCCTCGTCCGACTGGGCAGTGGCATCAAACGCGCGACCGAATCGCTCGCGAAAAGCAGCTAGTTTCCCGGCTTCGTCTAATTCGACATTTCGGAGGGACTTTTCGCTCGGCTGCCACAGGAGAGTGTTGCGGGTATCTTTTGATGCGCGGTAAATGGGGTTGGGGGATGTAGTGCGCATGGTGTAGGTCGAGCCGTCGGAGAGGGTGACAAGCTGGGTGAAGGTGTACGGCCGTCGGGGACGAGGAATGAATGTTGCGTGGCGGACTTGAATAGCTAAACTTGTAGGGTGTGTCGTGGAGGATTTGGCGTGTGAGATGGTGGTTCTTGAGGGCGCGAGGGCCATTGTGGAGGTGATCCTGCCCATCGTGAGAGTTTGCCCACCCCGCGTAAGTGCGAGCTTTGCCCTCGTAAATGCCGTTGAGACTCGTGAGATGGGCGGTGGTGGAATAGGTGGCAGTCTGGATGAGGTTGCAGGTGTGATGTGACGGTCTCTGAGCTTCTGGTGGTCGTCGCAAAATTTCCGGGCCGCTGCCAATCAGGCGCATCCACTGGCATACCAGGGCATCCCGCACAAGGATGCTCTTATCGATAAGATTTTTCTGCCCATTTTCCCGGTGACGAGCACATGCGTCGGACATACATATACAACCTCCCAACTTGCCCAACCCAGATTCCCTCCGCCCATCCTTTTGCAGCGAACGCGATTGTACGGCCTTTGGGGGGCGAAATCGCACTTGGACAGCACGATGAGCTGCATGACACAATGAAGCATACGAGCACAAGTTTGCGCAAGGTTCCGGTGGGGCGGTTGGGTGGAGGGTCATCATGGAGAGAGAGCTGCTGTGCTCGGCGGTCGATGATTGTGGAGGGGAGGAGGAAATATTTCTTGATGCCGTTGCTCAGAGGTGTTCATGATACGTTTCTGGGGGCAATTGAGATAGGCAGGTGGATAACTGGTCGACAACCGCTGCCCTTGCGCTCGCGAGCAGGGGAATCTGGGGGAGAGTCAAGGACGGCGCAATCCAGTCGTGAGTTTCTTGGCCTGAGCTGATGGTGTGTGGTCCTGGCTAATGACTGCTACCCAGGCTCTATACCAAAACACTTTCAAACATTAGCCTCGCATCAAGCATGGAAGGCCTCTTCACCAAAAGCGCCAACGGCAAACCCGGATGCCGAAACGACCCTCTCCGAACAACTCCGCTCTGTTTTTCGACTTCTCACAAACCCCATCGTCATATGCACGGCGACTCACAATGGCACGCCTCGGGCCATGACCATGTCGTCGTTTACGTCGTTGACGTTATCTCCCACGCCTCTCGTTTCGTTCAACATTGCCACGCCGAGCCGGACGCTCGATGCAATCACGTCCAGCAAGGAGTTTAATATCCACGTTCTAGCAGGCGATGAGAGCGGGGCGGCAGTCGCTGATCATTTTACACGGGGCAATATGGACGGCGTGTTTGACACCATTGAAGGGGCAACATATACGGTGGATAAAAGTCAGCATGGAGGGAGTTCGGCGCCGCTGCTGAAAGGAGAGGGCGTTTTGAGAGTGCTCCGGTGCAAGCTGTTGCCAGATGGAGCTACAGGAGGCCTGGTCCGTGTACGAGACCATGTCATCGTGTTGGGGGAGGTTGTTGAGATGATACCCGGGAATAAGACAAAAGAATTTGGGCTTGCATATGCGGATAGAAGATATAGACAGGTCGGAGGCGTCATTGAGAATGCGCGCTGACCGTTGCGCTTTGTTCCGTTTGCGGTTCGTTTGCATCGCGGCCGCCTTTGTCTGGAGCTTTGGGGACGAGACGGCGCATGTACTAATCTGGGAGCAAATGGATTGTGATTCATCAGAGTAGGAAACGAACGAAGTACATACAGTCAGCCTTTGCTGTACGTCAGCTGTAGCAAGCATTTGCTATGCGGACGGCTGTGGAGCAGATAGTAGCAGGCCAGGGCTAATAGAAGAGAAAGCTCCGTGACGCAACTCAGCATGATAGTCTGTCAATCAGGGTAGTTGAGCATAGGTGTCTCTTTGAGTAGGCTGACACAGCTCGAGCACGAGCGGAGACCGCCCGCCGCCGTTTGTCCCCACGGCCAACATTGAACGGCATGGATGGAGCCTTGGGGCCTTGGAACCTTGGAATGCCGCGGAAATTGTGTTTGCATCAAGTTGGTTGACAAGTACGACAGTTCAATTGCATGACGACGATCGTGCTAGACACTGTAGGTCGGAATGCGGGCGAGGGCAGACCTCGCAGATATATTGCGTGTGTGGGCATTTTAGGTTTTCAAGTCACAGGCGCGAAGTCAGTTTGTCTCTATGACGGTGGCTGAAGCTATTGCGAGATGGCCTTAGCTAGTAGGCCGGGGCGTGGTAAGTTACTAATTACGCTGGTACATCTGACGCGTTATAATACATAGACGGTCTACTTTTCTAGTCTCTTACTATCCTTGGCCTGGTATAGCCTAATATTATTTTAAATTTTACGCTTATATAATACTTATATTATGCGTGTAATTTTATTTGACTACAGAGCAAAATAATTAAAAATTAATTAACACTGTAGGTTGGAGCTGCCCGCCAATCGGCCAGCCACTTGGTACTGGCATCGCGCGAGGCTGCGAGAAATTTCAGATCCATGTCCGGTCAAATAGGACCCTTGGAGGCGACGTTGTGGGGGCGGCCTGGCCTATGAGGAACCAGGCTCAAGAGCTGGCGCCGTGGATCAGTCAAAGGGGAGCCACAGGCCCGCGCAGCCTCGCCACAGCGACCGTTCAGCCTTCCGGGAGAAAAAGTGAGGCGTATCGAGTGCGTAAAAACAAACAACGACGCCAGTGTGGCCTACATAGCTTCCAAGATAAAAAAAAAAAAAAAAAAAGGCACCAGTTAACCTCCGTCATAGGCTCATGATGTAACTTCAGGTCATCCCATTGTGCTCGCGAAAGGTCTAGAATTGTAAATGGCCATTCTTTGACAGCGGTCAAGAGAAATTGTGGGGTTCCCTGTTGGCCTGCCGCCTAGCATTGACCTGAAGGGCTGCCTAGCTTCTCAGCGCTGGAGCCAGGCTGGATGCACTTGATGGCACGCCTGTGGGCACCTGGCGGCTGCTGCTAGAAGGCTCCAGTAGAAGCACCAGACATCTGGACCTCTTGCAGCCGCACCCTGCACGCCCGGCAGCAACGGCCCGTAGCCAATCAGCGCGGGCCATGTCGTTGCTGTGGAAAAGGCACAGCCGTAGAATCTCATGGAATCTCGACTTTCTGGAGCCGGAGCAAGCACCAGCACCACCTTGAGAAGCCCTTTTTTATTTCTTCACTCTCTGCTTCCCCTCGACTTTTGATTTTCTCCTCCCATCTCTCTCCATACTCTCGCATTCCTCCAACCACTACCAAATCTTAATTAGCCCATCGAGACTTTCAGTTCTCCCTTGGAGCTGTGAACACTTCCCTTTCCTTTATACCAACCAAGCGTCTAGGTAAGCTTCAGTTTCCTGCCCTCCCCGCCACCTCGACTCGCCCGCATTTGCCTTCGATTTCCCCTTCGGCCTGCTCTTGAAGGACGGGCTTTCCTGGATCAAACAAGCGGGTTAAAGCCCGTGTTGGCCATCAATTATTTCATATGGAAGTAATTGAAATCTCCCTCAAGCTTGCAACCACTTTATTGTCTCCCCTCCCAAGCACCTGGACAGCACCGTTGACTCACGATTTTGCAAAAGTTTGTTGAACACTAAAACTAACCTTGATCAGACAATTCCTCCTTTAGATACCCATCACAATGTCTGAGACTTTCGAGTTCCAGGCTGAGATCTCTCAGCTTCTCTCCCTCATCATCAACACTGTCTACTCCAACAAAGAAATCTTCTTGAGAGAACTTGTTTCCAATGCCTCCGATGCTTTGGACAAGATCCGCTACAAGGCCCTGTCCGACCCTACCCAGCTCGACTCTGGAAAGGACTTGCGCATTGATATCATCCCCAACAAGGAGGCCAAGACTTTGACCATCCGGGATACCGGTATTGGTATGACCAAGGCTGTAAGTTGAAGACCACTTCATTTGCTATCCTAAGAGGGTGAGCTTGATGGCTAACATTTCTTGAATAGGACCTCGTCAACAACCTGGGTACCATTGCCCGCTCCGGTACCAAGCAGTTCATGGAGGCTTTGACAGCTGGTGCCGATGTTTCCATGATTGGTCAGTTTGGTGTTGGTTTCTACTCCGCGTACCTCGTTGCCGACAAGGTCACTGTCGTCTCCAAGAACAACGATGACGAGCAGTACATCTGGGAGTCTAGTGCTGGTGGTACCTTCAGCATCACCGCTGACACCGAGGGCCAGCAGCTCGGCCGCGGTACCTCCATTATCCTCCACCTCAAGGACGAGCAGGCTGAATACCTGAATGAGAGCAAGATCAAGGAGGTTATCAAGAAGCACTCCGAGTTCATCTCCTACCCCATCTACCTCCACGTCCAGAAGGAGACTGAGAAGGAGGTTCCTGATGAGGATGCCGAGGCCGAGGAGGTCAAGGAAGAGGAGGGTGACGACAAGAAGCCTCGTATCGAGGAGGTTGATGACGAGGATGAGGAGAAGGAAAAGAAGAAGAAGACCAAGAAGGTCAAGGAGACCACCATTGAGGAAGAGGAGCTCAACAAGCAGAAGCCCATCTGGACCCGCAATCCCCAGGATATTACTCAGGAGGAGTATGCTTCATTCTACAAGTCTCTTTCCAACGACTGGGAAGACCACCTTGCCGTCAAGCACTTCTCCGTCGAGGGTCAGCTCGAATTCCGCGCCATCCTCTTCGTCCCTAAGCGTGCTCCCTTTGATCTCTTTGAGACCAAGAAGACTAAGAACAATATCAAGCTCTATGTCCGCCGTGTCTTCATCACTGACGACGCTACTGAGCTCATCCCTGAGTGGCTCAGCTTCGTCAAGGGTGTAGTCGACTCTGAGGACCTTCCCCTCAACCTGTCTCGTGAGACCCTCCAGCAGAACAAGATCATGAAGGTCATCAAGAAGAACATTGTCAAGAAGTCTCTCGAGCTCTTCCAGGAGATTGCCGAGGACAAGGAGCAGTTCGACAAGTTCTACAGTGCTTTCTCCAAGAACTTGAAGCTCGGTATCCACGAGGACTCTCAGAACCGCCAGCAGCTTGCCAAGCTTCTGCGCTTCAACTCAACCAAGTCTGGTGACGAAATGACCTCTCTGTCCGACTACGTTACTCGCATGCCTGAGCACCAGAAGAATATGTACTACATCACTGGCGAGTCCATCAAGGCTGTCTCCAAGTCTCCCTTCCTTGACACTCTCAAGGAGAAGGGTTTCGAAGTTCTCTTCCTCGTCGACCCCATTGATGAGTACGCCATGACTCAGCTCAAGGAGTTTGAGGAGAAGAAGCTCGTTGATATCACAAAGGACTTCGAACTCGAGGAGACTGACGAGGAGAAGAAGGCTCGCGAGGAGGAGGAAAAGGAGTATGAGAGCCTGGCTAAGAGCCTCAAGAACGTTCTCGGCGAGAAGGTTGAGAAGGTTGTTGTCAGCCACAAACTCGGCCTCTCCCCATGCGCCATCCGAACCGGCCAGTTTGGTTGGTCTGCCAACATGGAGCGTATTATGAAGGCCCAGGCCCTCCGTGACACCTCCATGTCCAGCTACATGTCCTCCAAGAAGACCTTTGAGATCTCCCCCAAGTCTCCTATCATCCAGGAGCTCAAGAAGAAGGTTGAAACTGACGGTGAGAACGACCGTACCGTCAAGTCCATCGTCCAGCTTCTGTTCGAGACCTCCCTGCTCGTGTCTGGCTTCACAATCGAGGAGCCTGCTGGCTTCGCTGAGCGCATTCACAAGCTCGTCCAGCTCGGCCTCAACATCGAGGAGGACGACTCTGCCCCTGCTGAGGCTCCCGCCGAAGCTGCCCCTGCCGCCGAGACTGGCGACAGCGCCATGGAGGAGGTTGACTAAATGCGTCGCAATGTACACTCGCACAGAAGTTAGAAAAGTTTTCACGGAGTTGGACGGTGTTTTAGAGCAAACGGACTCTGGAACGTGCACATGGTTTTTGAATTTCTTATTTCTCTGCGTGCGGAAATTGATGCTTTGCTTGGCCATAATTCCCGGGCGGTCCTCCCATTTGGGATGGAGCAGGGTGTACTTTACCAGCTAGCTATGATTATGAGGTAGACGGATGAATGAAATGGCATAAACAATGCTTCTCTTGGTTGACTTGTGAAGATGTGACTGATGTATTTTCGTAACTATGTAGACGGTATATCAAGACGGTGGCCCTTGCCTCTCTCCGGATGGATGAAAGAAGCGAGGTACGCACAAGCACGGCACAAAGACTACAAGTTCTCGATGCAAGGGCTTCCAAGGCTCGAGATGCGCTACTTTGTAAACTGGTGCTTTCCTCTGGTAGCACTCCGTAAGGTGATTAGTGATTGCAGTCGCCGCGTGCGATGGAGGATGCAGAATTGCAGATCATGATGGACAGGTGCAGCACTTTGGCTGATGGTAGCCCCGCTTTTAATCCACCTGATGTTAGCTCTCTGCGAGACTAGGAGGACAACATATTGACGTGGCTGGGTGACGCTTGACTAGACGTAATTACGGCAACGAAAATGAAAGGGTATCTTTGTTGAGTGATGGCTAAAAATAAATTGAAAAAAAAAAAAAAAAAGATGGCGCGCATGACTGTTTGTGACAGACAGCTGAGGCCACAGTCGACGAGGCGGCTAATTTGTGGGAAATATAAACAAAGCTATACAAGCACGTAAAGAGCACATATCTGATTCCGGTTAGCCGTGGGAAAGCATATATTACTCGACAGAGAGCGAGAGAGAGAACGTACCAGGCTCAGGCCCAGAATCATGGAGCACCAAAAGCAGACATTGTTCAGCGTCTTCCTGCCCCGGATGAACCTCGTGCGCTGCAGCATGACAATGGGCAGCTGCAGCATCTGGCAGATGAAGCCGTAGCCGCGAATCTTCTTGGTGATGCAGGCCATGACGACCTCGTGCATGGCGGCGGAGATGAGGAAGGTGATGAGGGTGGCGACGACTTTGCCCGTGTGCGGGCGCGAGGCGCTGTAGACATGGCGACGCAGGAACGAGTAGACGGGCACGTTCCACTCGCGCGAAAACTCCATCCAGTCGGTCGAGTTCCACCAGTCGGCGTAGAAGTGGCGGTCGGCGAAGCGGGTGATTTCGGCAAAGGCGCCGAGGACGTACTCGAAGATGACGAGGAAGACGAGCAGGAAGGTGAGCATGAAGGGGAAGAGGAGCCACGAGATGGACTCGGCGAGGATGAGGAGGGCCTCGGGGGCGGAGACGGGCGACGAGGAGGTGAGGCGGCGCTGGGCGTCGACGAGCACGGGCAGGATGAACTCCTCCGAGGTGACGGTGAGGAGGAAGATGCAGCCAAAGGTGGCGATGGTCTTGGCGACGAGCGAGGTCCAGTTGATGCGCGGGGTGCGCGGGTACTCGAGCTCGTAGCAGAGGGTTGGGCAGAAGAGGTAGTCGATGTAGTTGGCCCAGGTGAGGTTGCGCGGGTACGTGGTGTTGCCCATGGGGGAGGTGAGTTCGCGGGCGAGGGCCTCGCGGAGGGCTTGGATGTCGAGGCGGGCGGCGGCGGTGGCGGCGGCGGATGGTGACGACGGGTGCGTCGTGTGATGGAGATGCTGCTGCTTGGTGAGCTCGGGGAGTGATGATGATGGGTTGTTGTCGTTCTGCGACGAGGGGATGCCCGAGATGCTGCCGCGGCGGAGGTTGGCGGTGGGATAGACGTAGGCCGGGCTCGTGTCGGCCTCGTCGCCGGGTGCGTCGAGCGAGCGCAGGCGCTTCTCCGTCTCGGACAGGTGGCCGTTGTAGAAGGCGTACGAGTGCATCTTCATGAGCATCACCATGGTGTGCAGCAGCAGGAAGACGTGGGCGGTCCACGTCCACTCGAGCACAAAGGGCACGGCGATCCAGAGCGCCAGCCACAGCACCTGGTAGATGCTCTGGATGGCCATGCCGCCCCTTTCCCAGGTCAGCACGGCGCCGGCCGGGGCTCTCCTGAAGACGGCGTGCAGCGGCAGGCCCGCGAGCGACGTGGCCACCATGAGGAAGTCGGCGATGGCCAGGTGCCACAGCTTGACGGTGAACAGGCTCCAGATCTGGATGCGCAGGGGGTACCCCGTGTCCCGCATGTTGCGCAGCATCGTGGTGATGCCCATGATGGCCAGCCCGATCCAGAACAGGTTGAAGAAGCCGTGGAAGTCGCGGTAGTCGCTCTCCGGGTCAAAGTGCGACACGCGCGAGGCGTACTCGATGGTCGGGAAGAGGCGGCGCTTCTGCTCGGCGCGCGCGAGCTTGCGTGCGCAAGAGAGCGACACAGCCGACGGGGGCGCGTTCTCCGGCACGGGCGTGGACTGGCCGCTGTCGTCGTCGGGTCAGTCAGTACTTGCGGCATCCAAATCTGCTCATGGTGTTTCTTGCTCGGAAGCACGACTCACCTCGTCAACCCGCTTGCTGGCGCGCTCTCGCTCACCCCCCCGAGTTGGCCGTCGCTCCCGCCGGACAGCGTCCGCGCAGCTTGCGTACGGATGCCCTTTCGCGGTCGCGGCCGCAGGATGTGCTCGTGCTCGTGGCCATTGGCCATGACGTCCGCGGATAAGCCCATGGTGTTTTCCTTCTTTCTTCTTCCCTCGCGATACCAGCCCTAGCTCCCTGCTTTCGAGCGACCTTGGGCGTCCCGAGAATCTGCAGGTAGACCCTGATACCAAGGTCCCTGCGCGAATCGTCGTCTGCTCGACGGCAAACCTGTACGCCGCTCAAGAGGAAGACAAAATGTCGCCACGCTACTCAAAGAAAGAAGCCCGCTCGGCGCAACAATCCAAGACGAATCCACAAACCACTCCACGATGAGGAGAATGCAGAAAAAAGCAGCAATTTGCTATTGAAAAGCAGACGCAAAAAAAAAAAAAAATAACAGCCCTGGGCGAAAGTGGCCAGCTAATGTACCAGGAGGACAAAGGCGCTACGTCAGCAAGCTTACTTTGCAGCCCAGGAGAACGGCTTCGGGAACGCCCCACGCCGTGTGTCGTCCGCCTTGGCACGCTGCTTACTGCGAGTAATATGTACAACAACCGGACTTGCCTGGCAGAAGCGATCCTGCGACATGGCGACGTGCCGAGGTAAAAAAAAATGCCAACGTCTTCTCCGGCAATCGTGGCCGCAGCAGCAGGATGCAATTTTAGTGAGAGGCGACCGAGGGGGGAGGAAGGATGATCGACGTCGTTTGTTGTGCCTTGTCGGAGCTGTCAAACTGTCACTCACCCCCCCGCGTCGTATTCGGATAGCAAGCTTCGCAATTGGCTGCGCTCAATGAGTTGGCCTGGGCCCGGAAGCTGTTCAATGTTCCGTCGGTCGGTCGAAAAATAGACTTTCTGCCACAGCGGGAATGGCGGGCCACAGAATGAACGACAACTTTGGCCTACGTACTTACGTCTGGTCTATGTACATATGTACTGTCCTTAATATTAAACTCGATTGGATCCCAACTCACCTACTACCTACCTACTAGGTAGATAATCAAGTAGGTCGGTAGATAAAATACTAGGCGTAAAACTCGCGGCCTACTAGTAAAAGCTATCTCGTTATAGCTTTAGCAATTATTATTATAAGAGCAAATATAAAGCTTAAATATAATAATAAAAGAGCTATTAAATTAGCTTCTACAAAAATTAAAAAAACTAAAATTATTGAATAATATTAATGTAATAATTTTTATATATTTTTATATATTAAAGCTAAAATTACATTGAGGGGATTGCTATATCTCCTTAGTAAATCGGGTATGTACAGCAAAGCTCCACGGCATATTTAGCCACCACTCGCCGTTAAGAGCTTGGAGATATGTTCGCCACCATTGGGCATTTTGACTTCCTACAAAAATCATATAACTACAGCCCTCCTCATGCAGTTTACTGGCAAACTGTTGTAAACCCTCCTGAGCTAGCAACCGCCGCTCTTCTCGTCGTTGGTTTTCTAGCTTGTCAGCCTGCATCCCCGGATCCACCACGCTGTCAACCTCCTTGACAATATGCAACGTCTGACGCAGCGAATCTACAGTACGCGGAAACAGGCGCTGTAGTGGACCACCGTGACTCAATCGTGTGTGCTTGGTTCGCGGAGACACTGAGACAGCCCCAGAAATGAGATTGCGCTTGCTAAAGTCTTTTGCCTTGTAGTAATGCACCTCGTCAATGAGATTGGTGTTGAGCCACATATTGACCATCTTACCCAGCGTCCCATTCAGGTCGGAGCCGGCCTGGTCTAAATCACTAGCATATATGATTCTAAATGTCATGAGCTTGTACTCGAGCTCCAAAAGGTGCAACCGAAGTCGCAAGATTGGCTCATCGTCGAAGCCAAAGCTATCTGCGAACCTTGATGGTGATTTTATCCGAATCCCGCTTCGGGAGCTCCTCGTCGAGGTATTGGACAAGGATATTGTCGACTCGTGCGACCTGGCCGAAGGCGACGGGCTGGCTTCGCGCAGCATGCTGTCGGTCCTATGCACGTCGCGCGCGTAATTGACACAAAGGAAGAAATCTTGGAATGTCCGTTCAGCGAGACTAGTGGGCTGCCGCCGCAGAGACTCCCTCGCTCTCTGGGCCGCCACGTGAAAGTCGAGGCACTCAATGAGTAACTTGTCGTAAAAGGCTTCCACGTAGGTTTTAACTGTCTTCCAGTGAACATAATACCACATGGCCGAGACGTTTGAAATTCCATGTCGGAGAAATATGTGTGCCAAGTTGGTTGCGGCACCAGACCGGTTGTATGCCGATAGACATGCATTGAGCACAACATTTTCGACCCGATGCCGATAAAGAACCTCGGCAACGGCTTCAGCTTTGGCAAGTTGCGTCTGAGGGAAGGAATACTCTGAAGCACTGGGCCTATGCTGCCTTGCGAACAACA